GTTCCGTGCTGCTCCCGCGCGCCTCCCGCTCCACCCACCGCTCCACTGGGAGGCCCAGCGCAGGAGCCCCGCCACGGCCGGGAAGCTGGACCCGGCGCAGAGCGGCCGCTTTTGACGGTCGGGTACACAGGGGCCTTCCTAGTTACCCGGCCGGCGGGTGGCTGCGTCCTGACGGGGGGCGGGGTGGGGTGGGGGCTCCCAGTGGTTACCAGGAAGCCGCGAGGCTAAGTGGCAGGAGAGGAGGCTAGACCGGAATCTAGAGCCCTCCCGGTTCTAGGCCTGGCTGTAGGACCAAGAAGCTGTGTGACCCAGGGCTAAGTAGTTGTTGACCTTGCACCAGCCCAGTTCTGCTCTTGTGTAACTTCGTGACTGGTGGTGGAAGGGGGTCGCGCACATCACTGAACCAGATAAGTTCAAGGATTCCTGAAACACGCGGACGTGAGGTGTCTGCTCATGATAAAGAACAAGACTCCTAAGTGTACGTTACATGTACACTGGGATACTTTCACACATCATATGTTCTTATAAACTTAAGAAACCAGCCTATTTGACAACACTGGAAAGAACGAAAATTTGGGAAAAAGGACTATAACTGATGTGTGAGTCACTTCACTGTGATCTCGATGACAACAGCTGACACTTATGGAGTGCTTAGGGTGGGTCTGCCCTGCGCTTGCCACTTCGTCCTCATGTCCTTAGGAGCTCGGTTGGCACGTGAACAAAGCAGGCCTCGCTTGGGATCAAAATGCAATAAGGGACGGGCCTCATCCCAGACCCCGCAGGCCTGATGTCCCACCCCAGGGCCCAATTCCACCCCCTTAGGCAGTCTCCCCCCAGTCTGTCCTCACCCAAAGCTGCACAATATTGCTCTTGAGCTCTTCTGCCAAGTCCTACCTTTCTTGTGTGGGTGTACACATGGCTAGCAGCTTTTTCACCCATCCCGTTTTGGCTTAAATCCTCAACCTTTTCTCCCAAATTCCCTTCTTTATGGATCTGAAACCTGGCTCCGCCTTGGAACATGCTTCCCCTGCAGGCCTTTCTCACATGCAGGGACCATGGGCTTGGAGAAGTACCTGTCATCTTCCTCATCATTGCTATTTCCAGCTGTCCTAAAACCTCCCTTTGAGTCTCACTTCATCAGATGCCACCCTCTGCAGTCCCCACCGCATCACTACCTGCATTCCCTGAAGGTTTGGTGCCTCCCCATCTCTCTGGAGCGCTACACCTGGTAAAAGTCACACCCACTGGCTTGAGTCGTGCAATGCCTTAGCCTCTCTTTGTTGGATTCCTTCTCTTTATGATCCACCCCATCTCAGCCAGCGCTCCTGTGACATACCTTACACCTTACCATTCCCAGGACCCGCCAGCTCTCTGCCATCTCAGTTTTGGTGGTCCCTGTTTCTCACCTGCACCCCCTCTTTCGAGCTCACTTTCCCTAGTACCTCAGCTCCTGTAATCCTTCAGCCCCACTGGGACCTCCATCGGTTGCTCCTCCTACCTTTTCCTTGTCCCTCACCTGCCCCACATCCTCACTTTCCTCCTCTGCCCAGCTTCAGTTCCATGTGCAGTCACAACCACTGCCATGCAGACACCCTCGACTCCCTTGCTGCTTTCTCCATTGTCCTTGTCCACTTAGCCAGAGCACAATCACCACACTGGTCAAGCTGAATTCTCTCCTACACCCTGCCTGCTCCCAAACAGCTGTTGAGTTGTGTCACTTGAAATGCACAACCTCTGGCGGGGTGCTGGGTTCCTCCTGGCCATCCAAATACCTACCCCACCTCACTGATGCCCCACCCTCCAGGAGAATCTTTTATGCATCCTCCTCTCTCCTCAACCCAAGACCTCCTCCCCCATCCTTGCTCTCAGCTGCTGACTTTGTGCCTGTTTCTCTGGCAAATTAGAAGCAATTGGAAGAGAACTTCTGCACCCCCACTCTGCTCACCTCCCCTCCTCTCCCCCCTGGGCAGATGAATGAGTTGGTACTTGTAGCTGAAGCCAGCACTGCCCCTGAAACACCCCATTCACCTCCTCAAGGACATCACTCTATCACTTCTCTTTTCTCTCTTCTGGATCATTTCCATGTTTTCAGCAAAACTCCTGAGAAGAGTTTCTGAATCACTGTCTCCACTTTGTCTCCCTCCTGCCCTCCCTCCTACTCCCAGGCAACGTAATTTCTTCATCTACACTGTAGTTGATCTGAGTTTCCCTCGAGGTCTCACCTGCTGGGTAGCAAGAGAAAATTAAAGATGTGGTCTGAGTAAAGCATAGTCCAATCTGATCCCTTCAACAGGCCCTCGAGGTAGTGTTCAGTTCTCACCAGTAACGTGTCTTTCCCCAAGTAGACTCAGGTGTATGGACGGGGAGGGGGGTGTCAGGTGGCTTAAAGCTCCTTGTGAAGAAGCTAGCAGGGAGACGGGCACCTAACTTTGTGCTGTTTCCTGGGGTGGCACGGCTGGCATTTGATAAACTCCACTTCGATGTCCCTATGCCTGGTCATTAACTACTCTGCTAGCCTTGGAGGCAGAGGTCTGCAGCTAGTGAACATTGTGGTCCCTTTCTTTGGCTCAAATGATGACCCTGGGAGCACTTGACATCTTCCCCTTGACTCTCATGGGCTGTGGACACTTCAGTCTCTTTCACTTTTTCCATTCTGCTCTGTGGCAATGGCCCCCCAGCCTCTGCTGAAGTCCCCCTTGCAAGGTTCCCCACCACCTTGACGGCTCCAAGGTGGGTTCACTGGGTCTCAACTCAGCCATGCAGGCTCAGCATGCTGACTGTACCTTCTCCCTCTCTGACTAGTCTGTATTACTCACTTCCATTCAGATGCTCCCTTTCTCTGTCGTATTTTCTCCATAGAGCTGATTGTCAACTGACATACTATTTAATTTACTTAGCTCTTTGTTTATTATCTGTCTCTACATCTTTCAACATTATGTGCACTGGGAGGCAGGGCTTTAATATGTTGTATTCACTGCTCTTTCCTAGTGCCTAGATCAGTATCTGGCACAAAGTGAGAATTTAATAAATATTTGTTAACTCAGGGAATGAATAAGCTTCTGCAGAACCAGGCACCATTATTTTCTGTACAATTCTCAGCAGTTAGGAACAGTACTCTGATGGTGCTGGGCGATCAGTAAGTGTTCACTGATAATCTAGTTCAGGATGGAGCACTGATATGGAGAGGTGGGTTCGTGGCGGGCTTTTTCAATAACATTGCTACGTTGAGGTTCAAGGGTGTATCTGAGCCCTGGTTATAATGGCTTGGCATTCCATGTTTTAGGAAGAAACGGGACCAGATATCTGGAGTACTGCCCAAATCTTTTTTTTTTTTTTTAAAAAAGAGATCACTCAGACTGCATCCTCTTCACCTTACTCTCCTGAAGGAAGAGAACGATCATCGAAGGCAAGTGGCAAGAACTGGCCAAATCTGTTTTCTGCTCTGTTTTTGTAGTCATTCACCAGCTTCCTGACTTCCTGTTTCATCTAAGAAGGTCTCAGGAGACCAGGAGTGTGCACAGCTTTCTCCTCTACCCTGGGAGTACCTTTCCATCTGGTACTCGTGTTGGGCAATAGTGGCCCTGGGTCCCTGGGAGCAAGAAGTTGGTGTTATCAATGGCCCTTAGCCTCTGGCTAGAAGCCTCACAGTCTGGCCTTTGGCAGGCTGGGATGTCCTGCATAAAAATAAAACTAATACTTACTGAGTGCAAGGTGCTTTATAGAGTTTGGATGTGTTGTCCCCTCCAAAACTCATGTGGAAATTTGATCTCCAGTGTGGCGGTGTTGGAAACTGATGAGTCATGGGGGCGGATCCCTCATGAACGGATTAATGCTCTCCCTGGGGGAGGGGGGATTAATGAGTGAGTACTCGCTCTATTAGTTCCCGTGAGAGCTTGTTGCTTAAAAAGACCCTGGCACCTTCTCTCTCTCTCTTACTTCCTCTCACCATGTGATCTGCTTGTACCCGCCGGCTGCCTGCCGCTTTCCACCATGAGTAGAAGCAGCCTGAGGCCCATGCCAGATGCAGCTGTCCCAGAATCGTAAGCCAAATAAACCTGTTCTTTGTAAATTACCCAGTCGCAGGTATTTCTGTCATAGCAACACACAATGGAATGAAACAGTGCTGTTCCAAGTACTTGCATATCTTAACTCATTTAATTCTCAGCAACAGCATTATGAGGGGGGTCCTTTTAGTATTTCCATGTTGTAGATGAGAAAACCAAAGCACAGAGAAGTTATCCAGGTCAGTGGGGCAGCCAGTAAGGGCGGTGCTGTTCATTTCCAGAGTCCATGGTCATAACCACCATGCTGTGTGGCCTCTTGCTGTGTAAACCATAGCAGTACTAGCTATGGAGAGTGTTAGGTATCATCCAGATTCTTTCAGGAAAGTGTCTTCCACCTTGTATTCTAGAAACCATATTTTGTGGGCAAATGGAAGGATCTGGAAAGCTTTGAGATATAGGATATGTCCATAACTTGCAGTTTATCTGTTGAAACTTGTAAACACTCCATAGGTTTTACACTTTTCTCCACAGAAGAGCAGGATTGTGAGGCAGAGGTTGAAAAGTGGACACCTACAGCAATTGACACACATTTCATAACATTTTGAACCAACCCTTTATAATTGGGAAATGTCATGTAAAGTTCTAGATTTTCAGCATTGTCTTGCAAAATGAACTTATTGACTAGGTCAATTTTATTGACTCCATGATGTTCAGGATTCTCTAGTCGTGTGTTATCTGTATATCAGCTGTTAGGTCTGACATATTCCCTTTTTAAAAAATTGAGGCGGAAGGGCCGGGCCCGTGACTCACTCGGGAGAGTGCGGTGCTGATAACACCAAGGCCACAGGTTCGGATCCTATATAGGGATGGCCAATTAGCTCACTGGCTGAGCGTGGTGCTGACAACACCAAGTCAAGGGTTAAGATCTCCTTACTGGTCATCTTTATATAGGATTAAAAAAAAAAATTGAGGTAAATTCACATCATAAAATTTACCAGTCTAAAGTGAACAATTCTGTGGCACTTAGTGCATTCAAAATGTTGTGCAACCATTACCTCTGTCTAGTTCCAAAACATTTCCAGCACCCCAAAATCCCCATACCCACCGAGCAGTTACTCTCCATTTACTCCTCTCTCCAGACCTGGCAGCCGCTAATCTCCTTTCTGTCTCTATGGATTTACCTGTTCTGGATATTTCATAGAGACAGTCCACGACTTAATGATGGTTTGACTCTGATTTTCAACTTTATTTTTTTTTTTTCCTTTTTGTCTTTTTTCATGACCGGCAATGGATCGCAACCCTCAGTGTCGCGCCCGTACCGGCCCGGGACCGGCAATGGGATCGCAACCCTCAGTGTTGCTCCCTGCACCTCGCTCAGCCAGTGAGCGGGAACCGGTCTGTATGTGGGATCCGAACCCTCGGCAGGAGTGCCGCCGCGCTTCCCAAGCGGCGCACTGTAGCAGTGCGCCACCGGGCTGGCCCCTGATTTTCAACTTTATGATGGGCTTATCGGGGTATTAAATGCATTTTTGACTTAAAATGGAATCATACAATGTGTGACCTTCCATGTCTAGTTTTTCACTTAGCATGTTTTCTAGGTTTGTCTACATCATAGCTATATTCATTTTTTGAACATGTCAGCTTGTCTCATTTGTGGTAAGGGGCAATAAAGGTACTTTTGTCCTTAGATGAATATTTAAGAGGATGGGTTGAAATGGGAGCAAAATGGGAGTCAAAGTATCAGAGGATGAAATTCAAGAGGAAAGAAATTAGAACTTACTTAGTCTGATGTCTGATTTCTTTCTGTTCAGTCCTTAAGAGGGCTGTGGGTTGATATCAGTACATGCTTAGCACAATGCCTGGCATACAGGTAGTACTCAAATGCTATCATAAATGTAAATTAAAGCCAATTAGTACTACTTTTTATTTTTCTTAGAATTTAGGACTTCTGGGGGGGAAGATAGCAGAGGATAGTGGTTAGGTGTGGGAGCACTAGACCAATCATCTGCCTTCAAG